CTGCAGCTGCACTTGGTCCAAAGATCCCGAAACCGAAGTCCCTTATTTGTGCGTTGCCGGCAGAGATGCCAAAATCAAGGTCTATGATGTTGTTCAGGGGAAGTTAGTAAAGGTCAGGCAGCCGTTTATATCCGAGAATGACTATTTCGACTAACATCTTATATAGGTCCTCATAGGCCACGGAGGAGTGAGTTCTTCATCTGGACTAGCTGGATTCAGACTAACACTCCTTGAAGGAAATCAATGATCTCGCCACATGCCCAACAAATTTTCTCTTGGTTGCGTCTGCATCAGAGGATACTACCGTTCGGATATGGAGCCTCGATCCTGCACACTCTAAGCAACCCTGCGTTTGCCTCCTTGCTGGAGAAGGTCATTCATCGGGGTTGTTAACCGTTGTATGTATTCCTGGCCACTCTCCTAACCACCTAGCTTTTTCGAGCCCTAACTCGATTTCATAGGCGTTCCACAACAGCGGTCGATATGTTCTGTCTGCTGGTCACGATAACGTCATCTGCTTGGTATGGAATGAATTCCGCCTTATATATATACATTTTATTAACATATAGCAGTGGACGTTACCTAACTTACCGCCTGAATCCAACGGCAAAACCCCCGCGAAACCTATTGTAATACATTATCCTCATTTCTTCACATCAGAAGTACACAGTGGTATTGTAGATTGGTGGGTCATCGTTGCATCGTATAAACCCATATCAAACTCTTCTGACGATCGTCTATAGTGTGGCCTTTTTTGGAGACCTCGTTCTTTCCCGAGCTTGTCACGAAGATATAATAGTGCTATGGAGAATTGAGGGGTTCTCGTCCCGCGATCCTCTACCTGAAATATCTGAGGCGCCTACCACGAGTGACACAGAACGTCTAACTCGTTCTGCGTTTGCCCCTGCGACAGCATCGGCATGTCCTCCTCAGTACACCCGCCTACTGGAATTTTGGACGCCTCATTGCGGCCACCAATTCTACCTTCGCTTCAAGCTGTTCCACGACAAAGACAAGCATCCAGTCCTGGCGTTCGGTAACGCGAAGGCCATGATCTTCTTCTGGGATCTCGCGCGCCTGGGAAGCTACCATAACTTCATCAGCGAAGTTCGAGATTCGGACCGCGATAAATCTCAGCCCGTCCATCGTCCTGGATGGCTGGCGCCGATCAACCATAGGCACAAGGGTGACGCTGTCAGCAAGCTCAGAGATGCTGCCAGTGACAGAGAGTCGGTGGCTTCGGGCCGCACTGGTAGCGTCGATCTTGAAACGCATCTGGACGTTAATACGAACTATTCACAGGAGACGATAGAGTCGTGGGAGTTGAAATACGATATGACGCGCGTGGAGGAGCCCATCAGAGCACATGCACAAAGCAATATCACTGTCAAGGACTTCGTAGGACGCCAGGTTGCTTGGAGCGCTAGCGGTGAGTGGTGTGTTGTGGTGGGGAGCAAGAATCTTGCTATCATCTTGCAACGGTGGCATAAGAGGGACCAAGCAAATGATAAAGAGAAGAAGCCGAGCTAGAATGGTTATGGTTGGAGGTATCAGAGACCTGTCGAAGTATGAGAACGTTTTAGGGCCCCTGTGTGGTCATTCTAGATTACCTATAGCCGTTACTATATCTTAATAGGTTCTCGGCATTACTTATCATATAATACACCCAGAAAACTAATATTTATAAAGAAATCTTCATTTCTCATTCCTGTGCAAAATGCCTTGTTTCCTCCGAGACCACTACTGAGGCTATCACGGACCTCCTTGTTGCCCTTGAAAGGCTAATAGTGGGTCTAAAATCGAACAAAACGCCAAATTTATAAAGGAGAGAATCACTGAGTAGTAGCCCTAGAGTACCTTGTTTACAGTATAACGTCCATAGTAGGTTCTGTACCCCTCCGACAAGAACGACGATGATGGTCGCTCATCAGCATGCCCCTATTAAACAGATCCCCCTTTCAACCCGACATCTTACTATACCAAAACTCCAGCACACACAAACTCCAACCAATAACCATAACAACCGCACAGCCTGAATATGTCTGATTTCATCTGAAATTACCGAGATGTCGAGTTGCAACCATTAAATGCAGTAAGGCAGGTTGTTGATGTACTCGCACCAGGTATCAGAAGTGCAGTTTCCGCCATCCTACGGATGATTAGCAAACCGACACAGAAATCACATTCGTGATGGTACCTACGACAAAGTATCCTTGAGCGGTACAGACGAGCCAGCCCGTGAAGTCGGCCTTGCAGACGTACTCCGGGGGCGAGCATTCTGTCTGAGCCATGACGGCGGTGAAAAAGGCCATAGTAACTGCGAAGAGCTGCATCTTGGAGGTGATGAATGAAGGTTTAGGTCTGTAGTATGGATGTAAGGTATGTGGGTGTTGATGTGAGGATAATATTGTCGGTGGAAAATATGAAATAACTCGTCGCGTGACCCTTCTTATATGTACATCATGGCAACCGTACAAACAGGTCCTCGAGGCAATTCGTTGAGAGGCCGCTAGAGCACCGCTCAACGCTCGTCCCTCTCAGGACTTGCCGCGATAGATAACTTCGTAATCTGTCAGGAGAAACACGACGTCTATTAGCGTGATGAGGAAAAAAGGAGACTAGTTGAGAGTTCAGAGACCAACTACTCACATATACGACCAACTTTGCCCATTATTTCCCGATGGAAACCCATCTCGAAGGGATATTTTTCAAAAATGAGGTTCAGACTACATCATTAGACCAGACGTAGCTTGAACTTCTTGCGCCATAGCCAACGTCGTGAAACTGGATAGATGATTGATACATAAGCCAACGAGGTGAAACAACATCAGGCAAATCGGAAATAATATCGAAGTAGACCGATGCATACGATCTAAGCTGACATCCATATGTCACAGTCCTCTCCGTGTTGAGCCGCGTAAAGGTTTTCCATGTGACAAATATTATTATTAGCGGCTATGTATCAGTATTTCCCTCATGAATACTACGTTGTAAGCATGCTAGACTATAAAAAATAGGTCTTAGAACTGTTGAACTAGTAAACGGTCACGACGTTTTGGCCACGGATCGGAAACGCCGTTAGTTCTAGCCACGCGGGCACGAACTGTCCACGTCGTAAGCATAGAAACTGCTATGACCTCTTGTCATTTTCAGTATGCGAACGGATTATTTTCAATACTAGAAGCACATAAGCTCGTTTGGACGTTGTACTATACGCCAAGTAGCGTAACTTTCGGTTTGATGATTGAAGTTGACACTCCCGCTCTCCCCTTTTCCCGTAAGCGTCGAAGTATATTCATATTTGAGCCCCTTAGCATGTAACAACTTCTATTAGAGGTTTTTTCATCGAAATAAATGTTTAAAGATTCATCTCTTCCCCTCAATCATATCGTAAAGATCTAAGAATGAGCGTCTGAAACGCCGAGTGCGAGAGTCGAGCGAGTCTATTCCTCAAGGTGATCCAGAGCAATTAAGACTTGAGATAATTTCGTTTCTAATAATATGACGAACCCTGAGCAATGGATATTGAGTTTTGTCGAATTCAATCATGTATATGATAATCTGGATGACGACGTCGGATCTTAAGCTTGTGACTCAACGTTGGATTGATACATGCTCAAGCGTAGATATTCAGAATTTTAATCTCTTCTTAGGGAAGCGATTGAGATATTCATTCAAAGTCTGATAGTTACATGTCGTAATCTTACATTTGGCCCGAGTCTAATACCATCCTATCTTATGTATAACGAATGGCCTGCTCGGAGGGTTTCTACATTGCCCCTGAATGCTCGATCGAGGGCACAGGTGTCTTGAGTGTCATGGAATGAACAATAAAAGTCATATATATCCACACAGGCCCCTGTTGAATGCCCTAGGATATGGTTATCAAGGAAGCTAGAAAGGAGAACAAAGGGGCTTTAGATTGAAGCCCAGTACAATCAAGTAGATCCTATTTTACTGTCTCTTTTAAGGTTGAAGTAGTGTATTGTGATGATAGGAGGTCATAGAAGACCACCCCTTATTTGAAGTAAGGGAGCTCCTAGCTTCCTTCATGAGCGAAAGAGCACACCTACCAATGAGCTGATTATTGATGGTGTGACTATAAGGAGACATAGTCTCTTCCTAACTGTCTTGAAATCTATTTCCCTTACTCTCCTGTCTTCTTTTCTCCTCGAATCACCATCAAATTCATCTATATGATAATCAATTCACCATTCGCTCTCGTCCTGTCACGTAACTTCAATTTGAGCTCAACGTTTACAATATGTACCTTCCACTATCTACTACCGCTTGCCTCGGGTGAACCATTCTATATCCTGACAATGACCATTTGTCTCAATCAATCATCTTCTCTTGCTGGGTTTCCAAGTTCTATTCATGAACCACCGCACGACATAGATGGACTCTCCATGTTTGATCTTCTAGCAACTACGCAATTTGCCTGTCTTTTCCTACTTGGTGTATCCTCAACTATCAGCACAACATCTTTCTGACCTTTTAAAATCCAGTAGCTTTCCTCTCCATTCCTATGACTTCATCTCGTTATTATCTAGGATCTCGTCTTCAATCCACCCATTGGCAGCCATGGAGCTTCGCACAATACTAATATCTGCATTAGAAAATACCGAGCAGATTAGTGGAATAATGAGTTAATCTTCGGAGCGTGACAGTCATGTCAACTAGCACCCATAAATCCCATTCCCAAGGACAGCGGATCATCCTTTTGTACCTAGTCCGCGTCCTCGAACTCGATTATATTTCGGCCATAGCATACCTAGAGTATACCTTACCTGCTTGCCGTCTTTCATGATGGTGATGGTGAACTAAGGATTCACGTCATCACGTCAGCTCCCCGCTTCCATCGCATCTGGTCTGTGCGGCTAGCAAAGCGGGGTGGCGCTTTGGCTACAGTATCAAAACCCGTCGATCTCAGCATCCATACTGTCCGCACGAACAAAATCTTATAGATTGCAGGAAATTCCCGCACCGTCACTATCACCGGGCTTGTGGTTTAGTGGTATAATACTCCCTTAGCATGTGACGATGCATCTACGGGTGTTACCCGCTGGCTTTCAGATCGTCTAAGCTTGGGAGTGGTCCGGGGTTCGATTCCCCGCGAGTCCATCGCTAGAGGTTCAATTCCTCTTATACCATCACTTTTTGGTGTTGTCTACGAAGTATCTACATGCAAGATATTTTTGGTAGATTCGGACGATTCAATCGCTAATTTACCCCCCCTTAAACCCCCAAATATCCCAACTAATATTTTGAGCCCTGAAAGTTGTCAGGTAAAGGAAGTCGATATACATAATTTTTCTTCACTTGGAGACTTTGACAAGCCAGACCGCAACACACAAAGCTTACTACTTATATAGGCTAGTAGTTATATAGCCAGATCTAAGGAACCATCTTGTTTCGGCTGTGTGAGTTAGAGTTATAATAACATTATTTTGTCACGCGTCATACACGGCTGCACATGAAGCTGTCCTCGTTGGTAGTGGCGACACTGTGTGACATGTGCCGAACTTGGTGGTTTCATTGCATGGCTGACTGGTACGAATAGTTCACTACATTGCCATCCGGGCGATGACAGTTCTCCTCTGCCACAACAGGCGTGGTGAGTAGCGTGATGGCAATGACTACGAGTTGGTCGACTGCGTAGCAGATCCCTGAGTCATGGGTTGCTCTGGCAAGTTGGGTGGATAGTGGTCGATGGTATTTTCGAGATGATTTGATTATAGAATGGTGTTGTCTATGAGCAAGTTTTGGTGATTTAGAGGGATAAAGCGAAATAGCGAATGAGGCGTGGTAATACAGTAGGGAAGGCGTTCCAACAAAGTCGGGCCGGCTTGAAGTCTAGCCCATGGATGTTCCACGAAAGACTTCGATTCTGACCTGGTTAGACAGTAATATGAATAGACTAATGATTCGAATAAGTCACAAACACCATCTAAACTGTTCAATGCTTGGCTGTACATACTTAGGACTAATTGAATTGAGCTTGTATTGTCGTGCTGGTTTGCTAAGTTTACCTTAGGTAACTAGGTAAACATCGCTGTTCAACAGCTAGCCACCTTGACGAACTTCACTTTAGATCAGAGTAAAAAAAAGGAAACCGAATATATGCTAGCACAAAGCGTAGCAAGCAAGATATGAAACACTTGTTCATCTAAATGCTGTCCGACAATGAAGGAGACGAGAGAGGCGGCGCCTTCTAGCTACTTAAGTAGGTAAATAGAGGCTTGCACGTTGCTCACTAATATCGAGCGAAGTCCGAATAGTCTCGTCTTGCGGTTGACAATCCTTGGCCTTACAGTTATACTAAACCAGTAGAATTCGACGCAGCTCTTGCTATGCCAGCTCATCCAAAGTAACTCACGCAAACTGTGGGAAATACGAGAAATTCGACGAATAATTATGTAAAGGGCATGGCAAGCTATTTTATAACCGAAGGAGGTACACGTGGGATTCGGTCGTGATGGTTGAGACAAACATATATTGGAAGTTTCGATAAGCGGTGGGAATAGTATGAGTAGTGGTAAAAATAGGTGCATTCAGATGCAGTCGCGCGGCAAAGACAAGATCGAAAGGTTTATTTCCAGAATTGAGTTGAGAAGAATTAGGAAGTTGACATCCTCTTCCTCTTGTTTCATGTTTCAAATGCCCCAGGGCCCAAGCCCCGTCGGGAGATGTGCTAACTCGATAACCAATCAGACCCCGCCATTGCCTTATTACGTAGCAGCTAAGAGATCACCGACATGCCCCCTGGAACCCCCTGAAAATCCAATTCGATCTTTCTGGACCATCGCGGGGCTCCTTCTTGACGACACGTCCTTCCTCGTCCTTCCCAAATGGCATCAACTTTTTAAACGTCACGGCCCGAGGAATCGTTGTACAGATCGTCAAGGTTGCTTGACCTGTCATCCTGGCTGTTGGATTCGGGCATCGTGGTAATAGTTGCCAAGCCCGTTCCTTTCTCATTTCCCCATATGGAATCCGTCGCTAGCAAAACAGATCGTTCTATTCCTCCTCCCCGGGACGATCGTGTGAACCAACCAAGGCATATCCCATTACAGCCTTACGTACTAACATGTGGTTGTCGGTGGCTGCTGATGCTGACAGGGAACATGTAACCTGGTTTCCTACAGTGAGCACCAATAAACTCGATACAGCTATGACTGGGATTCAGCCACTCTTTGTGTGCCTGGGGATGTCATTTCATCATGGCTCCTTTGGGATCTTGAATATAATGACCTTGTTTCCCATTCACATCACTACGGATGTATGTTCTCAGTAACTGAGTAGGTTCTCGAATATGAGTCTATTCAAGTCATAGGTCAAAGTCACACTTTCTTTGCTGTCTCCTTTCGTTCAATCAGCGTTGATTGCCCTTTCTTTTCTTCCCGGGGTTTTTTTTTTCGCCTCTTGCTCGTTCCTTTCCTTGCTTATTGTGAATATTTAGACAATCACATAGAGTCTATTGTTCGACCTCTCAACACATCGTTTGTACCTAGAAATTTTGTCATTCATTACCTGTCCATAACCTAGAAAACGACGTCATCTCGTTCACCTCTGTTTCTTACGACGAATTGTAGATTTCATTCGCTTCTTCTGCCTCCTAAGAGTGCTCGCTACATTACACCTAGTGTTCCTCCTCGATTATTGAGAAGCGGAAGTACAAGCAACTGCCTACCTACACAACCAAGAGTACAAAATAAAACCTGCAATTTCCGGAACATTTATACAAGTTGAGGTCGCTGTGCGATACAAATTCTTTCCACCAATACCCACGAAACATGCATATAGAATCAGTTCGAGCTGCTGCGCTGGCAGCGGCATTTATACTACCCAAAGATATCAACATCACTGACACCGGTATGTACATATCACACCCCCTATAGAATTCCTAAGGATATGTGTTGATATGTGTGCAGCATCTGTACGCAGCGTGGCCAGCACGCTTGCCTATGAACTAATGGCTTGGTACACCGGAAATGTGACCAATACCCCAGAAGTATGACTCCCCAGTTCCGATTTGTCTAAGCTAGAGCTAACTCATTGTCTCGTAGACTATTGCTGTCTTCCCCGAACCATACTGTAAGACATCTTGTTTCCCCACTGCATAAACCATTGCTAACCCTAGAAACAGATTGGTGGGAAGCCGGTGCAGCCTGGGGCGCTATGTTGGATTACTCGCACTATACAGGGGACTCGAGTTACGACGACGTGATCACGCAGGCTTTGCTGTCGCAAGTAGGGCCTGCATTCGACTTCATGATGCCACTGCACTATGGGTCCGAGGGCAATGACGACCAAGCCTTCTGGTCATTCGCGATTCTAGCCGCGGCGGAGCGCAACTTTCCACAGCCCGACGACTCAGTCCCGCCGTGGCTTGACATCGCGGCAAATATCTGGAACAGCATGGTGGTGCGGTGGAACACGTCGAGCTGCGGCGGGGGCTTGCTGTGGCAGATCTTCGAGTCGAACCCCAACGGCCTAACGTACAAGAACAGCGTCTCCAACGGCGGCTTCTTCCAGATGTCCGCGCGCCTCGCCCGCGCCACCGGCAACAACACCTACCTCGAGTGGGCGCAGAGGGTCTGGGACTGGTCCGCCTCCGTAGGTTTCGTGGACAAGGATTTCAACGTGTTCGACGGGGCCAGCATCAACGACAACTGTGCTACGATCAACGAGGTGTCGTTCACGTACGCCCATGGCATTTACATGTACGGCGCCGCCGTGCTGTACAACTACACGAATGGCAATCAGACGTGGGGGGACCGCACGACGGGCCTGTTGAAGGCGGCGGGAAATTCGTATTTCAGCCCTTACCCCAACGCCACAAATGTCATGTACGAGCGCGCGTGCGAGCCGTACGAGCTCTGCGACAACGATATGAAGTCGTTCAAGGGCTACCTCTCCCGCTTCATGTGGGCGACGACGCGCATGATGCCTTCGACGCTATCCCATGTCCAGACGCTGTTGAACACGTCTGCCGTTGCGGCCGCGAACGCCTGTTCCGGCGGGACTAACGGCACGGTGTGTGGTCAGAAGTGGTATGTCGGCGAGTTTGATGGCGTGACGGGATTGGGCCAGCAGATGACGGCGCTAGAGACCGTCCAGGGCCTTCTTTCTCAGGAGGCGTTGCCCCCCTTCAAGGCCGGCCAGATCAAGCACGTCAAGGGCGCGGTCAGCTCACCGTCTCCGACAAGCTTGGCCTCCACCTCGTCGTCATCGACAGCCACGCCCTCACCCTCGCCCTCCCCTACGGAACAACCGAATTCTGCGAGCGGCACGCTTCTTGATTGGCGATGCGCCCTACTACTTTTAGGCTCAGTTGTGATTATGGGCTTTGCATGATGTAATGATATTGGATATATCAAAAAGGGGCATTGACATAGCACTTGGCGTTTGAGTTGCCCTATTCCCAATTTGCTTTATTATGATGATTACCAGACACTTTGACGTAGTAGGATACTATATTCTTCTGAGGCACCTTGTGTATGTTGCGAGTGAAACCTGTGAGATACTGCATATAGTATGAAGCCGCAATTCTGATGCCCACCTTACAGATACATGTACATGCCCGCACCGCTAATAGATCCAATGACATTCCGCAATCTATTTCAGTATGTTCCATAGCCTTCTTGCGTCTTGGGGGAGCTCTCGTGTACTAGTGTCGCTACCATCGCCCAAACAAATGACGACAAAAAGTAGGGGCAGAAATTGATTATCAGTTTCTGCGTGTTCTGTCCATGTATCCCTCTCCTCTGAGACCTCTAATATGTTGCTCTTGGTGGCTCCCTACCAAGTAATGGGGAAAAGGAGGTTATTCTGCCGCTAAACTCTCACGCGATTCTTCGAGTGAAATGGTGGGTTTGCTAGTTTGCAGAGGCCTTCTAAGCTGGGGGTTTATCCGCTGTTCATCATCTTGTGCCGTCGATCGCGACATTGCCTGATAGTAAAAATGTGAGATTTTGAGATCTCAGGTGTGCTATGATCTTATTCAAACCCAGCCCGACGGCAAGGAGTTCCTTGTGGTCAATATACCTATCTCCGCCCGTCTGTGGTGGGAGCCAGCTTGTCGCTGGTCGAAGATCTTGATAACTTCTAAAATGTGTGTC